GAGACGACTTCAGCATGCTGCCACACACTCATTCCCTCTTTTAGTCTCATTGTTGTAAACAACAAACAACACAGAACAGTCTGACCAGTATCTGACAGATTTTCATTAAAATCTCAGGTATTTATTTATTTATTTATGACTGTTTGCCCCAAAAAGCCAAAGCAAATTCCGATATTGTAATTGTACAATACTGTTGTGAACAATTCAAGTTGAAGAGAAAGACTCCAGATCAACATTTTTTTGCTGATCAACTATATAAATGAGTGTCTGATCGTGCTGTTGGCAAATGTAGTCAATAACTCGGCATTTTAGTTCTTCTTAGTTAAAATTTAAATTTTCTGCCTAAAACTGTCAGCGATGCACCGTCGTCAGGTAAAAACTCTGCACAGCATTTGAATTTAAATCTGCCATCGCTATTGGCTAAGAGGTACACCATGATGTTAGATGGTAGGTTATGAGGGGGTGACTTGCTCTTTAAAGTTGTTCAATTAAATTCAGTTATTATTTGGAGCTGATAAATGTGTCAATACTCGGTTTTATTTATCTAAATGTGCTGCACAGCCTGTAAATATCATATATTAGAGTTCTTTGCAGGGCTGATATAAAACAGGTTAAGGATCAGCTTAGCGAGGTCAACTTGTCAAAAGCATAAGGAACTAAACATTTTATTTGTCTTGCAATTTTCTAACAGCAAAAAAAAAAAAAGCTTTTGTGATAAAGGGAGCAAAAATAATACATATAATGGGGATTCAAGTTAGAAAAGGCAAATGAAAACAGTTCGACCTAATAAAAAATATCCACTGCCCAGCCCACGGCCATCAAAACAAAACCTCACACACTCCGATGTTTCCCTGAAAGATCATCGCCCGTGCAGTAATTATCCACGAGGACGAGATCCTATTTGCTGGGTTTTTGGTCGGGCAGTGCAGTTTTTAACCCTTTAGGCCCTGGCGCCTCCCAGTCGGGGGCTTTTGGAGTTTCATGTCCCAAGTGTCGGTGATTGTTTGCGTTCCCCGAGCACGGCTACAGCTGCAATCAAACCAGTTTAGACTGTAAACAAAGCAGTTTTTGGTTTTTGATACGTTAAGATAAAATAATACTTGAACTTTATTTTAGAAGAGCTGCCCTGTGTAAAAGTGCTGACAAGATGGAGGTTGTGAGTTCAAATTCCACTTAGGAAATTCAGTCAATGGTGTTATTTATTCCAGGGGGTCCTCGACTAAATTTGTTCAAGGGTTATTTTCCCCCAGCAGACACCAGAGAAGGTCAAATATCGTTGTATCTTCATTTATTACCATCTAAAATGGCCTTGTTTCCCATCTGGGCTGTTTGGTTGTGGTTTTAGTCGTGTTTGGAGTTTGTGGACAGTTGATGTTTGGGTCATGAAACTCTAGAGGCCCCCACTTGGGGGGCGTTAGGGTTAAACAAGTTAAAAACTGTAAAACGAGACAATTTTCTGTTTGCCAGAAGTAAAATAAAAAGCTGCGGAGCTTTATAAAAGTAGAACCACCTAGGGCCCCGTGTCCACGTACGAGAGCACGCTCCTTGGAAAAGCTTCTACTTAGACCTTTTTGTTATTTTTAATAGACACTTGATATACTTATTGGTATATTATTATAGCAATTGAGCTGGTATGATTATAATGAGCTCCTGGAGTGTGTTGTTGTTGGGTGTGTGTGTGTGTGGGGGGGGGGGGGGGGGGGGGGGTGTTTTGTAAAATATTTGTAATGAAATTGAAAGAGACCTCAGGAAGAATAGCTCCACACTTTGGTGTGAGCTAAGAGGTTCTCAATAAATAAATAAATAAATAAAATATCGACTTTAATGTTAAAATCTTTTAATATGTTTCGTTGTCTTTCTTTTTTTTACGATATTTGACATTTTTATTTTATTGTTTTGGACCAATCTGTAATAATTAGATATGTTTTCTTTAAATGACACCAAATACACGTTTGAATGGCAGTCAAATACTGGTCAAACGAGACGAGACGCTGCATCCATTCGTCCACTCGGATGTGCACAAAGACACGAACATACGAAGGGTTGAAGGTACTTACACAGAGAAGGAGTCAGGGGGAGCAGAGAGGCGGCGCAGATCAGCTGCACACACCTTCTGAATACTACGGCCGCACACACGCAAACAAACAAACAAACAACAAAACAACGCAGAAGAGAGGAGGAATGTATGGCGGTGAGGAGAAGAGAAGTGTAAAGAAGGAAAAAAGAAGGTAAACAAATTAAAAATAATAACCAAGAAGATCGCGGGTGTTTCATTAAAAGGGATAAAGAGGTGAAAAAAAGAAAATGTGAGTAAAAAGGAGGGAAAGACGGAGAAAACCCCAAAAGGTAAGTGGACAAACATCAAAAGCAGTTACAAGAAATTACTCTAGTGTTCTACCACATGCACACACCTGCTGTAGCTCGTTACTGAAAAGCAGAGAAATACACACGTGTACATTTAAATATTACTCCCACAAAGGACAGAGACGCTGTAGGGCTGGGGCTGGGGGGGTGTTACAGCAGGTAATCGGAGTAAAACACTGCTGGCACAAACCAGTATGGCCACCACCGTAAAGAGGAAGCAGCAGTGCGTCACATGTTAGCGTGTCACTGGAGATAAACCTGATTATTCTAATTCCCAGAGACAACGTTACACGTGTCCCCTCGTCCTGCAGGGAGACGCGGGACATCAGGAGGAGTGGATGTCAGCTCACTGAACCGATAGCATGACTCACTCTGAGGGTTTTTACAACACGACGGGCCTACTTCATCTGTGTGTGTGTGTGTGTGTGAGACTCACTCATTCAGCAGGGGCACTGAGGTCCGTCTCTTGCTCTTCTGTACCATGTTGGCCTGATTTCGAAGTGAGATGCGCAGAGTAGATGGGGCCAGTCGACACGGCTCACCGTCCACCTACACACACACACACACACACACACACACACACACACACACACACACACACACACACACACACACACACACACACACACACACACACACGATACGGTTTAAGTTCATAACTAATATTGTTTTCTGAGTTTTATCATGGGTGGCACAGTGGTTAGCGCCGATGCCCTGCAGCAAGGAGGTCCTGGGTTCACATCCCTCTGCAAGGAGTTTGCAAGTTCTCCCTGTGCACGCGTGGGTTCTCTCCAGGTGCTCCGGCTTCCTCCCACAATCCAAAAACCTGACTGTCGGGTTGACAGGTCTCCCTAGCTTGTCCTTAGGTGTGTGTGTGTGCATAATTGTTTGTCCTGTGTGTGTCTGTGCTGCCCTGTGATGGACGGTCAACCTGTCCAGGGTGGAGACTGTCTTCAGGCTGGAGATAGGCACCAGGCACCAGGCACCAGACACCCCCCCCCCCCACCCCCCCCCCCCCCCCCCCCCCGTGTGGATAAGCGGGTAAAATAATGGATGGATGGATCCATCTGTCTGCATTTGACAAAAACCTCCATTTAATGTATTTATAGCAGTCATTGTTAAGCTGTGACACATGAGCTCCCTCTAGTGTTGTGCAGAGGAACATCAGGCAACGAGCCCTCAGGTCCACACACCAGAACCTTCTAGAAGCTCCAAAGACCAGATATAAAAGTCCAGGTGATCGCCTCTTCCAGACTTTGGAATGATCTTCCTTTATCCATACGTAGGATTGACACTCTAGATACTTTTAAAAAACAGCTAAAGACCCTTTTAAGCTGCTTTTACATAAATCCTTTGTTCTCTTATTTTAACTCAGATTTGTAATCATCTTTCATGTTTTATGATATTTATTCCTGATGTTAATCTATCTCTGTTCTGAGATCATTATTTTGTTTTGATCTACGTGAAGCGCTTTGTAATTCTATGTGAAAAGTGCTTTATAAATAAAGTTTACTAAAGTGAACGGTGGAGCCACCCAGTCAGACCAGCGCTTCCAGTTTAGTTATGGTTCTGCTCCACATGGAAACGACTAAAAACAGAGTTTCTATGGAAAATATTTAGTAGTAACCGGTGTTGTGCTTTATTATGTGTTGGCAGCTGTTAGCAAACAAGAGCCTGGACTTGAACCGGAAACCCACCAAGAAGCAAACTCCAAACACAGTTACACACCTGTCTGATGCCACATCATCATCGCCAGGCCAGCGGGTAGATTCGTTTACGATCGCCAAAATAACACGCAGCAACTCAGCGTTACGTATGGAGAGGTTGCTTTTTACATTTAATTAGATTTGTTTCCTTTTACGACTTATTTTAAATGAAATAAAATATTTCAATAGACCAAAAAATTCAAGCATCGGTTTTGATCCTCCTAATACCCAAGATTTCTTCAGTTCTGGAAAAATATCCGACTAGTTGCACCTCACAGACATAAAAATAAATATTTTATTCCTGTTTTCAGCTATTTTAAAAAGTTACAAATCCAGTGTGACTAAATAAGAATCGGAGGCAACTGTGAGAAGACACAATAAGCAGGGTATCTGCAGGTTTAAGGGAGCCTAATTTAAGACTTTTTAAGACCTTTTTTAAGGCCACTTTGACCAAATTTAAGCTTTTTTTTTTTAAATTAAATTTAAGCGATAATTTCCAGCTATTCCCTGGAACCGGTGCTAACCACGCCGTGAATGTGGGATTAGCCATCCAGTTACCATTAATGTTGCACTTCCCCATGGCGCAAGCTCCCACTAGCGTGCTCATCTAAAAATAGCCCCCTTTCACAACCAACCGAATGTGTACGGTTCCACTAACGCCAGTATCACACACAAAAAATGCCAAACTAACTAGGAATTCACGAAAATTTTATAGAAATAAAAGAATCTTTTTTATTGGGTTTTTGGTAATTTAAGACCTTTGGAAACTATTTAAGGATTATTTGTCATTTTTAAGGATTTTTAAGGCCTTAAATTTGGAAAAGCTAATTTAAGGCTTTTTAAGGACCTGCAGATACCCTGCAATAAGGTAAAAACGGAAACTTTGCTCCTCTGTGTGTACGATGAGAAACACAGAAGGAACATAAAAAGGAGTTTTAAATATTAAAAGTTATTTTGAAGGCCAACTTCACTGAGGAACTGTTTATTTGATAAACGGGATCAGGTAAACATGCTTCTTCTTTGAACAGACGTTTACTCCTTGGACTGTTTTTACTGAGTGCTCCATTGTCCCTTCTTGTTTTTAATTGGCCACGTTTTCATTACCATAGCTTTTATGATCTTGCCTCGACTGTACAGCACACTGGTCAGTTGCTGTGCTGTGTTTTTAATGTGCTTTAAACCTAAAATATGGATGGATGAAAATAGTCTCCTACACCCATCTCCTGCATTAGCTTCTGACAGAAAACAGACGGTGAAACTCTAGGATTAGAAAATCCTGACAGATCTACGTCACACTGTCACTAACATTCATGGACTCACCCATCTGGACTCACGACGGGGAAGGCTGTTGTTGGCTTAGCGTCCAGGAAACGGCAGAGAACGTCTCAGCTAGTGGAAACTAACCGTTAGCATTAGCTACTCTACCACACAGCAGAACTCCTCCAGGTTTGTGTTATTTGTGGAGATAAAACATCAACGTTGCAGAAAAAAATGGGAGTCAGTGGTAGAGTCGTGTTGCTGTTGGCCAATCAGAGACTAGATGTCCAAATATCAGGAAGTAAGACTCCAAATCCTGCCGTGTTCTGCTCAACTCTGATCAGGCTCACGTCTAGTTCCTGAAACAGGAGCGCCAGAGCTTTGTTCCCATGGAGATCGATTCACAAGGCATTCATTTATACTAGAGACCACCGCAGATGTGTTCAATCCAAATCATGCAAACATCCCAAAAGTGACACCTACTGGTCAGATTCACACCGAGTTACCTGAACAGGTACGGTTTTGTAGGTGGTGAGGATAACTTCTCTACACTGGTGGAGTCTTTCTCCATGACCTCCGACCTGCAGTGCAGCCTGGTGGGAATAAGGAAACATGAATAAATCTCTCAGGTTTCTCTGTTTGAGCCGATTTAAGGTGGACTTTTCTGGGAAGTTTAGTTTTACCAGCGAGGCCATCGTGAAACCAATGACCTCAATGCAGCCGTCGTCATGGCGCTGTGGCTCAAAGTCTCTGTGATCGCCCGTGTTTCCCCACGGCATGGTGCCAGCACAGTACCTGCAAGCGCCAAACGCGTAAATATGAAACATCTGCCTCTCAAAGGTCTCCACACCGCCGGTTCGGTTCCGTCCCGAAACCAGATGCTCAGCTCCGTCTTAGAACCTGAAGGATTCCCGTTGGTTCAGTTTCAAACGGGAATGATGGAAAACAATAGATGGTGCTGGCTGCCTGATGTTCAGTCCAATATTTAAACTTCGTTCTTTTACATTCATTCTTTTGCTTCTCATCAGTTTTTCATCCTCAGTTTGGGAAACACAACCAAAAGAAGTCCAACTGGAGCACGATATGACACAACTAAAAACATTCCCACCTGGGAATGTTCAGAAACACGATGCACTGGAACTTCAGCTCCTGGATTTTGGGTGTTAGATCTGTGCCGTCACACTGTGGAAGACAGAGAGAGGGTGGAAAAGTAGAACTGCTGTTTATTTTTTTATTCTGTCATTTGCTTTACAGGCTGCTCCAAGAGTCTGCATCTATTTATCACCATCACACACCATCATTCAGGCATAAAAAGGCGTCTAACTCAAGGGATGAGCCGGCGTTGTACCGCCACACAAAAGGCAACACAGAGTCTGTCGGCTGGATGTTATTTTTTTATCAGTAGACTCTCACGAAGACAGATTTTGTTTCCATTTCTTAAATTAAATGTATGAAAAATGTCAAAGGCACACCATCTGGTAGAGCTGAGCACCAAGGAGGTGACGCTCAGACCTTTCAGCTGGTGAACTTCAGGACTGTTAAAGAGAAGAAGAGGAGCTGAGAAAATTAGAATAGATTTGTTGTCCTGGATTCGTGACCGAGCAGGGCTCATCACGGGGGGCGATAGTTGGAAGGACGTCCCGTTTAATCACCAGAACGACCTGCAGCTCGGACACGTCGACACGAGAGACGACACGAGCCCAGACACGAAGAGAGGGTCGACACTCACCACCACTCTGACGTGCTTGGACAAGTCCCTCGAGCTTCTCTGAAGGAAATCTGAGAAAGCAGCCTGCACACACACACACACACACACACACACACACACACACACACACACACACACACACACACACACACACAATCAAACAGAATTACAGTTCATTACGTTTCCCCTCATTAAAAAGAGATCACTCCTCTGCACGCTTCCGCCTCAGCTCCCACAAAGCATCTCTCACTTCCAGCTCACTTCTCCCACAAAGTGTCAGCTGGATCTGAAGAGGTACATGTTTAAGATTTCATAACAGACGGTTGCTAAACAACAATCAAGTTCATATTTACTCAATATGCTAAAAAAAAGGAACCAAAAACAAGCAAAAAGGATGCATCAACAACCTAATAAGCATCAAGTCCATTATGCTGGAAGCTGCTTGGAGCTGAAAACTAATGGATTTCATATCTACTCATCTACAGAATAAAGGTCAAATGAATTATTAAGAAGCTGACATTTGTTTAGCAAGAACATCAAATGAATATTGCACGTCTCATGTTGTTCATTATGGATAAAGGACAAATCCCTAGGTTTTCTCACTGGATGATGAAAACTGATTTAAGCCACATGATGAAAACATAAAACTACTTTTTTATTTAAAACCAACAAAGATGTTTTACTGGATAATAGAATTCCTCCTAAAGATCTAAACGTGCTCAACTTCTCATCACTGCATGAAACTGCATCATTAAGACAGAAATGCATGTAGTGTGTGTGTGTGTGTGTGTGTGTGTGTGTGTGTGTGTGTGTGTGTGTGTGTGTGTGTGTGTGTGTGTGTGTGTAAAGTAAACACTCACTCCTGCATAGAACATCTTGTTGCGGAAGCGACTGTTGAACTTCTCTGGGTTTGCCTCTGCACAAACGCAAAGCAACAAGAAAATAAGAAGAGCTCCATAAACACGAGTCCAAACTGCTAAAAATAAC